ATTTTAGTCAGATTATTTGGTATTTTGATGTCTAGTTTCTTGAGTTCTTTATATGTTTTGAAGATCAGCCCTCTGTCAGATGTGGAGTTGGTGAAGATCTTTTCTCATTCTGTAGGCTGCCATTTTGTCTTGTTGACTGTGTCCTTTGCCTTACAGAAGCTTCTCAGTTTCAAGAGGTCCCATTTGTTAATTGTTGCTCTCAGTGTCTGTGCTATTGGTGTTATATTTAGGAAGTGGTTTCCTGTGCCAATGCATTTGAGGCTACTTTCCACTTTTTCTTCTATCAGGTTCAGTGTAGCTGAATTTATGTTGAGGTCTTTAATCCATTTGGACTTGAGTTGATATGATAGTATACATAAGTGACCCAAAAACTTCTACCAGGGAACTCCTACAGCTGATAAACATCGTCAGTAATGTGGCAGGATACAAGATTAACTCAAAAAAATCAGTAGCCCTTTTATATACAAATGATAAATGATCTAAGAATGAAATCAGAGAAACATCACCCTTTACAATAGCCACAAACAACATAAAATACCTTGGGGTAACTCTAACCAAACAAGTGAAAGACCTGTATGACAAGAACTTTAAGTCTGTGAAGAAAGAAACTGAAGAAGATATCAGAAAATGGAAAGATCTCCCATGCTCTTGGATAGGTAGGATCAACATAGTAAAAATAGCAATCTTACCAAAAGCAATCTACATATTCAATGCAATCCCCATCAAAATCCCAACACAATTCTTCACAGACCTTGAAAGAACAATACTCAACTTCATATGGAAAAACAAAGAGCCCAGTATAGCCAAAACAATCCTGTACAATAAAGGAATGTCCGGAGGCATCACCATCCCTGACCTCAAGCTCTACTATAGAGCTATAGGAATAAAAACAGTTTGGTATTGGCATAAAAACAGACACATTGATCAATGGAATCGAATCCAAAGACCCCGACATTAATCCACACACCTATGAACACCTGATTTTTGACAAAGAAGCTAAAATTATACAATGGAAAAAAGGAAGCATATTCAACAAATGGTGCTGGCATAACTGGATGTCAACATGTAGAAGACTGCAAATAGATCCATATCTATTCCCCATGCACAAAACTAAAAATATATCTTAAAATGTCTTTTAAAATGTGTTTTACTTTAAAAATGTATTTTCCAAACCTTCTGGCAATGCAGCTATCGCTACCTCAGAAGCTTTCTCTGTTTCCCCTCATTCAGTCCTTGAGAAACATCCATTAGATCACATCTTATTCCTGTCCCACTGACAGATACATGTAGGCTCAATGAAATGAAACCGGGGGAACCCTTGTAACTGTGCAGCTTTGCCTCATGGAGCTTGCTTCCGTATTTCTGTGCATTACTCTTTCATTCCTCCACCACAAGTTCCTCTGTCTTCTGTGTCCCTTGCACTTCTGGGCTTTTGCTCAGACCACTCCTCATTTGCATACGCCCCTCCCTTCTGTGCTTTTGCCATCATTTCCATTTTCCAGGCACGGTTCAAACTCACCTGCTCATAGACATTTCCCTAGCGACCCCACCCACCCATTGCCATCCCTTTATCAAAGACCGCTGTGCAGCTTCTGTGCTTGGTTAAGTTCATATCAGCTGCTGGACTGGGACCCCTGGAAGTATTGTGATTTGTGTATTCACAGTACCGTAGCACCCTGATGTAGCAGGCATCTTAAAAGTTCGTATTAATAAAAACAAACTTGGACCCAAGTATTGGGGTGAACGCTGAAAGATCAGAGAAGCAGAACAAGCCACAGCTACCTCACCTTGCCAATTCCTCAGTTGATCCTGTTTCCTCAGACTGGATGCCTCTCAGCTGAACTGTGGTGCTCAAAAGCCTGAAAGCTTAACCAGGCTAAAAGCTTCTAGTTTCTGGTCTTCATGCCTTATATACCTTTCTGCTTTCTGCCATCACTCCCTGGGATTAAAGGCTCACCTCCTGGGATTAAAGGCGTGAGTCACCATGCTTGGCTGTATCCTTGAACACACAGAGATCCAGGTAGATCTCTGCCTCTGGAATGCTAGGATTAAAGGTGTGTGCTACCACTGCCTATCTTCTATGTTTAATATTGTGGCTGTTCTGTTCTCTGACCCCAGATAAGTTTATTAGCATGCACAATATTTTGGGGAACACAATACCACCACACCCTGACCTGGAGATGGTGTGGTCCTTGGCATGTGTGTGTCGAACTAGATTGAACCCGAAGTTCTGAGACATGGAGTTAGCTGTTTGTGAAGCAGTGCCTGGCCTGGTGTTTCCTTGTGTGCATAATTCCATGATGCTTTTCTTCTTTTTCTCGGACTTCTTTTTCTTCTTTCTTTCTTTTTGTTGCAAACACACAAAATAGCAGCCTGGTCTACAGAGCAAGTTCCAGGACAGTTCAAGCTACACAGATAAGCCCTATCTCAAAAAACAAAACAAAACCAAAAATTGCCCAAGGAAGAGTGACAAGATCACCTAGCTTCTAGAATATCTACTCTCTTGTACTTGTGTGGATGGTTCTACCCATCTGTCAACCTAGTCATCCAGGCTCACTGGATAACTGGAGAATTCAAACTCTTCCAGTGCCTGGAAGCCCTTTGGAACCAGATGTGGGATTAATTTCCTCACTCAATTCATCTGTATGTGGCTTTGACCATGTCTTTTCTTTTTTCTTTTTTCCTCTTAACCTGTGTCTGTCTCCCCCTTTCTAAATTGAGAGTGGACAGCAATGCCTGATTTATAGAATATGGTGAAAGCCAAGTGAGATGGTACAAATCAAGGGTCTGGTACCTGGTGTGTGTTCAGCTAATTGGGGGGTGGGAGGTTGGGACCACAATGTTTCAGCCATCAGCACAATTTCTAGAAATTGGGAATTTGGGCCATTCTTACTTCCAGTCTCTATTTTAGGCCTGAAAGAAAGAGAAATGCATGGAGACCATCAATCTTAGGCTCTTTCTTGGCTGTGAGGAAGAAGTTTCTGGTTCTATATAGTGAGCAGAAGTGACCCGCCATAGGCATGGCAAGTGCATTAGAAATCTCTAAAAAAAAAAAAAAAAAAAAAAGCCTCAGAATCTCCAGTCATCTGCTTAAATCCAGACAGGACTGGGGCAGAGTCAATGCTCATGGAAAATGTAGAAGGACTTTGCTGGAACTTGAGATGATTAAGGGAGAATGTCAGAGCTCTCCACAGCCATAAAACCCTGAGCTCCTTTATGCTGGGATTTGCATATTTCTGAGCATAAACCCTCATTAGGACAATCCTCCAAGGAATACTCCTATAATGGAGCCATCTTTTTTTTTTTTTTATCTGCTCCTGGAAGTACCAATTTACTTCAGAGATGATGGGCATTGAAGAAACTCTTTTTTTAATTTTAATTTTTTTTTATTAAGAAAACTTTTCCATTCATTTTACACACCAATCAAAGATCCCTCTTTTCCCTTCTCCCACCCCCCCCAGCCTCCCTCTCCCAACCCACCCTTCACTCCTCCTCACAAGAAGGCAACGCCTCCCATGGGGAGGCACATCCAGTAGAGGCAAGTCCAAGCCTTCCCCTGCCTCAAGGCTGCTAGAGGTCTCCCATCATAGGTAGTGGGATGGAGCCATCTTTTAATTAGGCTTCAGGTCATCTTGCCCCTGAAAATGGCCCTGTTGAGTGATGGCTGGAGAATGCAGGACAAGATCACATTCTCTGAGGCTTTTGACCAGAAGGTGTTTGGGACACTGGAGGGTTGGTAAAAGAAACCCTCATCTCTGTTTCCTGCCTGCATCCCCACTGTGCCCATCCCCAGGCACAGTCATCACAGCTTCCAGCATGCCCTTTAGCCAATCACATTGAGGATGCAATGGTGTGAATATTCATGCTTTGAACGAAATTGTGGTCCATCTGCACAAAATTTTCTGTGGCGTACTCAGAATTGGACCTCTTAAACTCAATTTGTGTTAGTATGTGACAGGAGAGCTGTCCCCAGTTGATGTAGTGATTTATTGTGCACTCCAATATACTGTGTACCCTTATAGTGTACCCTAATGAACTTATCTGGGATCAGAGGACAGAGCCAGCCACTAGATTAGACATAGAGGTCAGGCAGTGGTGACACACACCTTTAATCCCAGCACTTGAGATCTCATGTCTTTACTTGGGAAGGACACACGCCTTTAATCCCAGGAAGTGATGGCAGGAAGCAGAGCGGTATATAAGGCGTGAGGACCGGAACTAGAAGCTTTTGAACAGTTCAGCTGAGATTTATTCCAGTGAGGACTCAGAGACTTTCAGTCTGAGGAAACAAGATCAGCTGAGGAGTTGACAAGGTGAGGTTGGCTGTGGCTTGTTCTGTTTTTCTGATCTTTCAGATTTCACCCCAATATCTGGCTCTGTGTTTTGTTGTTGTTGTTTTTTTTTTTTTAATTAATAAGACCATTTAGCAATTCGTCTTACAAAGTGAACTGGAAAATGTCTCATGTTCTTCTTTTCCTGGTGGTTTGCAACTTAAATGGCACGGCACCTTAACCTGTGGAACTTTGGAAAATACGTACTCTTGACTTCTTCCTTTACTCACACCCTTCAACTGGAGGATCAATGTAACTGGGTACAAGGATAACCCAGTGGAATCTACATTTAAAAAAAAAACCCTACAGATTATTTCAGCAAGGTGGATAACTGCCTCTTAGCTGGGCATAGTGACACAAACCTTTAATTCCACTCAGGGAACAGAGGCAGGTGGATCTCTATGAGTTCAAGGCCAGCCTCGTCTACATAGAGAGTTCCAGGACAGGCAGGGCTACATATAGAGGCTGTATCTCAAAAGTAAATAGATAAATAATTGCCTCTTGAGTCTAAATATGTATAGCTCTTCCTAATAAAATCAGTGAGTAATAAAGTATGTCTATTTTTGAAAGGATGTTTATTTTGTTTTGTATTTTTAGTTGTGTGTGTGTGTGTGTGTGTGTGTGTGTGTGTGTGTGTGTGTGTGTGTGTGTGTATACATGTGAGTTCAGTGCCTGTGGAGGTCAGAAGAGGGCATAGGAGCTCCTGGAACTGAAGTTACAGGCAGTTTTGAGCCATCCTATGTGATTTTGGTGGTTCTGGACAATAAACCCAGGGCCTCCCAAAGGCAGGCAGCTAAAAATTTTGCCGCCATAGTCCTTCCCAGCCCCAAGTATGCCTTCTTTTAGATGCAAAGTCCTAGCTGACCTTTTCATTTTCTGCTGTGTTTTCTTTCATGCAAGAGAAAATGAACTGAAACAAGATTGGGAAACTTTCTGAGATAGAATAGATTGGATATAAAATAGAAATAAGGGAAATGCAAAGACCTCCAGGAGACTAAGTAAAGAAATTCTCTGTGGTTATCACGGCTGCTGGGAAACTGCTGGGGTTATCAGCAAAGGGTATGGCCTGGGAGGCAAAGAGAGACCCACAAAGGGAATGACTGCACTTGATCTGCTTTAATAAACATCTTTCACATTTTATTATTCCAGACATCTGCTAGGCTGGTACCACTGGGACAGAATTATCATTGCTCATACTTGGTGAATTTTGTTACTAGTTAAGGAGGCCTCGCTGGATACCTCCAATTCTTCACTCCAAGCTTCAGCCAACATACCATTCACAGATCATTTGGAGGAAAAATCCCTGTTGTTGCTGAGAGTCTAGTGATGCCATATGCTGCTGGTTAGGTTTCTTTTCTTTCTTTCTTTTTTGAAGGTAATATTGTAAAAAGCTTTCTGGGTGTTAGTTGCTTAGAAAAGAATTCTGTACATGAGCATGCAACATTTCAGAAGGATTAATTTTGCTTTCAGTATGTGCGGTGTGTGTGTGTGTATGTGTGTTGTCTCTCTCTCTCTCTCTCGTGTGTGTGTGCTCTCTTTCTCTGTCTCTCTCTTTCTCTCTCTCTCTCTCTCTCTCTCTCTCTCTCTCTCTCTCTCTCGTGTGTGTGTGTGTGTGTGTGTGTGTGTGTGTGCTCTCTTTCTCTGTCTCTCTCTCTGTCTCTCTGTCTCTGTCTCTCTCTGTCTCTGTCTCTCTCTCTCTCTCTCTCTCTCTCTCTCTCTCTCTCTCTCTCTCTCTCTCTCTGCATATGTGTGTGATGTATACATCCCATGTGTGGGTACCCAAGGATGCCAGAAGAGGGTGTCAGATCCGCTGGAGCTGGTTATGGGTGTTGGATCTGAACTCAGGTCTTCTGGAAGAGCAGCAAGTACTGTTAACCACTCATCCATCTCTAACACTGCGATTTGTTCCTTTCTTCTTTCCTTCCTCCCTCCCTTTCTTCCTTCCTCTCCTCCCATCCTGTGCAGATGTCTGTGGAGGCCAGAAGAGGACATTAGATCTTTTAGAGCTAGAGCTCTAGGTGGTTGTAAGCTGCCTGATGTGGATGCTGGAACCAAATTCTGGTTCCCTACAAAAGAAGTAAGAATTCTTAACCTCTGAGCCACCTTTCCACAATCATGTAATTCTTTTAAAGGAAATGCCATATTAATACTTCTGACGGCATTGACACCAAGAAAGTGTGCCAGGTCTGTCTGAAAGGTGACTGTGGGACAGCTGATTCTAACCATGCAAAGGTACAGGGTGAAGTGTAATTGCACATATTTTCTCTTAGTGGGACATTATGTGCTGTTAAATGTGGGGCGTTTACCCACCAACCCCACAGCTCCCCAGAGTTTTCTTGAGTGATAGCAGCAGGAAATATTAGATAGAGGGATTTAGATTGTGGAGATAAACAGATAGAAAATACAGGATAGCTTTAAGAGAACCTGGAACCTATTCCAACGGGCCCTGACTAGCTCTGCCCCAGGGTATTTGTAGAAATGCCAAGGGATGGAGCAAAAGACCTCCCCCCAGCACAGCCAAGTGCAGACCATCTCAGACACCTGCACTCAGGCCCATGGTCCAATCATCCTTTCTGTATAGACCTGCTGGGTAAAGCCACGAGGAACCCGAAAATGGGCTCCCACAGTTAAATAAAGCTCTCACAACGGCAGTGGTTCAGATTCAGGTAATTTTGTAATACAGAATTTCCAAAAGAGGATCGATTTTCAACTTCAAACAGTACCCTATTCTTGGTAATAGTTACCACTCATAATTGATAAGCATATGTAAAATTCTAGAAGGGACCTAGTGATTTATGTATGCCTAGCTTTCATACGGCCTAGCTTCTGAGAAAGAAACAAGAAAAGACGCCCTATCGCTAAAGTAAATTGGTACTTACCAGTCTCTCTTTAGAGCAGCCACATAGAGAAGTTACAATCTGGGTCATGCGCAGCACCATCCCCTCATGCCAAACTTGGGGCTGACGGCAGTCACTGAGCCTTCTTTGCGCTCGATGTCACACACTAGTGCTGGTCATTCTTGGTTCCTACTAAATTCCATGATGCTGGCTGTCAGCGGAATCGTGTCACCTGAAACACTTTCTCCTCTAGACTTCAGTTTGCTGAAGACATTGCTGTGCTTTTTCTGTACCATTATCAAGATTACCAATGAAAAATCACCAGGGACAGTCTTTCGGCTCTTTCTACTCTGACATTTGCCATTCACAGCATGGAGGTCATTTAACAAAACAATTTACCTAATTATGGTGTCATAAAAACCATATGTTTCTAGCTTTTTCACGAAAACATATTGAAAGATCCTAGCAAATGCCTTGTGGAATACCAGCTGTCAATAATCTATATCTCTTGATATAACATAACAATCTATATAACTAGATCCTGGGCCAAAATAAAAAGTCAATTAGAAAAGGGGAATTAGAGGAGACATCTGAGTTAACCTGATTTAACTTTTCAGTGATTCTCTGCTTTAAGCTTCCATAGACCTAGGTATTGCCTCGTACATGGACCAGAAGAATGGTCGACAAATGCTTTTTAGATCTAAGCACAATATGTCATTCAAAAGTATATAGAAGATCTGTCTTGCTGGGGGAAAGTCCCTTTCTACCTATCAAGGGTAACTCTTTTGGGAAGTCACCTGCATAGCTTAGGTCGATAGCAAAGCACGAACTGACTCCTGCCTAATCATGTAAACATTATTGCTGAAGAGAAAACATGACTGAGGCTGGCAGTGTGAACCAGATGGAGAAAGTGCCAAGTCTCTTATGTAAGCAGCTAATTAGGCAGCATCTTTAAGGCTGGAGATAGGTCCCACGGGTTAATCAAGTGGAATATCACCAGCTGCTAAAAGAACAGACTCTTTCCAGAGGTGTCCCCTCCACCAAACGGGAGGGAGATGAGGCAGTCGGAGGGACCTTCTGAGGCTCCAATAGCTAAGAATCCCTATAGAAGAATTGTGGGCAAGTGTTGAACAGTCACAGCAGTGACAGATCAAATAACGTTGAATCAGTGCTCAAGTTTTGGGGAAAGCCTACACTTGGAAGCCACTCAGAGCTGAGTTCAACTCCCAATTCTTCTTTTGCTAGCTTTGGACAAATTAAACGAACAGGGTAAGCCTTAAGTTTCTTCAAATTTAAAATGGAGGAGACAACGCCTCCCTGGTAAGGTTTCGTAAAGATGGGGGACTTCACAGGCAGTATCCAGGGACAGGCAGGACCCTGGGACAGTGGTGACGGTGATGACGGAGTGAGATCTGGACTTCTCTCTGCTGCTGGCTTAGCCTCTGTGACGTTGGGTGTATGCTTCTGTGGTAAGAGCTCGCTCTTGCCTTTTTCCTGAAAAGGCAGGAGAGTGCTGGCTGGTGCTAGCAGATGCTTCATCCTGACAGGATGAAATGGGGGAAGAGAATGGGGGACACGCTATTTAAAGTGCAGCTAGGCAAGGCGGGATCCACTGATGTGAGCGACGCAGGTGTGGTCATTACAGGCAAGTTCCCAGGGGGTGTTTTCCTTCTCCACCTCTAACTCCTCTTTCTGCAGTGCTGGCTGGAGGCCCCCTGAACTCAGCTATCTTCTCCTACCCCTACCACACACCCGGCTGGCTGTTGGTCATCACAGGTGGCAATGCCACATGGAGCATGTCTGTTCAGTGGGGTGAGGCACTCCGTATCGCAGCAAAGGCCCCTTGAAGGAAACAGTGAGGGTTGGAAGGCAGGTGAGACCTGTCTTGTACTATTAACGTTAGTTTCTTTCCCTTTATTCCTCATTGCAAGCTAACACATTAGTGATACTGAAAACTTTATATGTAAGACCAAGTGCCTGCCCTCTATTATGCTTTCTTAGAGCATGCCTTCCTGATTCTTCCCCTTCCCCTCTTCAGCGCCGTCTAAGTTGCTGATTTCACCCAATTATAATAACCTTGATCTTCGGGCAGAGGTGCTCAGAGGGAGGTGTTCGCTCCTAGAGCATATATGCACAAGGCATGCCAGGGAGCAGGAATATAGTTCCAAACCCGCACTTTTATTTTTACTTCTTGTTTTAAAATCCCAGTGCATATTTAATAACATGCAAAAATATGTCTGTAGGTAGAGAGTCATAAGCTGGGACGGTGGCTCAGCAGCTGACATTCCTTCCAACTCTCTGCCACCCCCAGGCCTGTGAGATAACTGCTACATGTTTACATTTTGTGTGCACACCCCAGGCTAGAATAATGAGGAAAATGAGGGGCAATGGTTTTCTCCTATTAGAATTCGGCTCTCCCTTCAAAAGAGATTTCTTCCCAAATTGGGCCAAACCAAAGAAGTTGAGAAAAGAACCACTTTACAGTCAAGATTCTGATTTTTTCATACTGCTTACTCACAGTGACTCATACAAAGACTCAAACACAATGTCAGCCTCAGCTTTGCCTTTGATGGAGAGACGACTGCCTTCAGCAAAGTTGTAGCAGCTTAAATAACTTGGATTTTGTGCATTCAACATCCCCGTTTCAATGCCAGCAGGGACAGCAGTAACAATGACAATAAAATACCAATGCTTTCTTTAAAAAAAAAATGTAAGTTTTCATCTGCTTTGGAGGGGAGTCAAGGGCAGGGGGAATTGGGAACTATGTGGAGTATAGGCTTTCTGTAGGGGTTGCCACAGTTCCTTCCCTAGAAAAGGGCATACTTATACACCCCCAACTTGTTAGGCCACTTTAGGGGGACATATATGCTGAAGAAACTGAGGAACAGCACTTGAATGGATGGTCACAACATGTAGCAGGGCTCAGGAGAGGAGTAACTCTGGACAGGGAAGGAAGAGACTGTGAGAATACAGGAATGAGAATGGAAGACAGGGAAAGCAGTGGCCTGAAAGTTCTAAATGTAGACGCTATAAGAACGCTGAACCGGAAATAAAACAACCAGGAAAGAAACGAGAAGGAATCCCTCGGTGCCTGCCTGAAACTTGAGAAAGTCTATCATTCTGAATGGTTGGAAGTTGGCCCTTCACAGGGGCGTGAGGCTGGGGGAGGAATGAATGAGGGTACCAGGCACCGGGTAGTGAGGAGCTGGACCACATCCCATTCACTTTTTTAGAGACACAGGACGTTCATTTGAAGCCCAAGGTGGTTCTGCAGAGGACTTGGTGATCTGGAGAAGTCTGATAGAGAATAATCAAGCTGGCTACTGAGTTCTGTAGAAAGCTACGGTGTGTGGTTAGGTGTTGTGAAGGATCATAGTGAAGTTTATCCTGGCAATTTGCAGTTCTTTGTGCATGTGTAGGGAGTAAGCAGGATGCTTGTGAATATGCAAGATGCCAATGTGAGGCACAAAACAAACAAACAAACAAGCAAAATTATTAATACTATCCCCAAACCTATAGGCTTTCCCCAGTGGGGAAAAATCATAGATCACCCCAGTATCTTTAGCTCATGGTAACTGAAGAAGCAAAAAGTTTAAGACCAACATCGGTGTGTTTGAGCTAGATACATTTCATCACTGAGGAGGCTGGTGTCAAGAAGGACATCATATTGAAAAATGAGTTTTTTTAAAAAGTGGAAATTGGGCGGCGGTGGCGCACACCTTTAATCCAGCACTCAGGAGGTAAAGCCAGGCAGATCTCTGTGAGTTCAAGGCCAGCCTGGTCTACAGACCGAGATCCAGGACAAGCACTAAAACTACACAGAGAAACCTTGTCTTAAAAAAAAAAAAATTAAAAAAGTGGAAATCATGGAAGACACAGAAAAATCCAATGAGTTTTCAAGGAAAGCAAATATCTGATTCCTGAACACATTTATATCCTGAAATGGTATAGTTATTTTATATATCTCATTTCGAGGGTCACACAGCAGATTTTGATGCTTATAAGTTCCCAGGGGGGCAAGCAATTAAAGAGAGTTTAATGCACTTCCTTATGTCTAACCTAGAATGAACCTAAAATAGAACTTTGTAGATATTGAATGAAGAGTGACATATTAGATCTAAAATTTGGCTTCTAGAGACAGAACACTTTGGTGGGGACCATGGCTCCATCCCATATCAGCTGTGTGAACTGGGGAAAAGGTCACCTATGTATATTATATGGGCAACTGCTTTCTAGGATGGTTTTGAGGATGAAATAAGATAATCTATGTCAACCTCACCATAACAGACATTCAGAATGTTACAGAAACACATGGATGAATGTGCTAGTTACCTTTCTGTCACTGTGACAAAATGCCTGAGAATGCTGGCTTGAGGGAGGAAGAGTCCCCACCCCCATGTCATTCTCAGAGGTTTCAGCCCATAGATGACTGGCTCTGCTTATCTGTGGAAAGATGATTGTAGTGCGAGTACATGTTGGACCAAGCTCATAGTGTTTGGGAAGAGAAAAGAGAGAGAGATAGAGACTGTTGTTCCAATATCCCCTTCAAGAACACACCCCTAGTGACCTACCATCCTTCCACTTAGAGTCACCTTGGAAAGGTCCTAACACCCTTGACCTAGTTTTGAACACTCACAGTTAGTATAACAATGGGTAAGCAGCATCTTTCTTCTGATTAGTTTTAGGTATTTTTTGTTGAATTTCCACATCAGGATTATGAATTTATTTAAGAATTAGGAGCCATTTTCTTAGGCAGCTTTTGCTAAAAACAAGAATCAATTCCTGAGGTGTCTGCCTCTTTTACTTTTTATTTTGGCAGAAAAGGCATTTTCCAGATTTTTGTAGACATTGAGATGATATGATCTTTAAGAATGATAATTATAGTATAAGATTTCTGGGTCTGAAATCTCACCAAATCCAATACTTCGAGAAGTTGCTTAATTTCGTTGAAGTCCTGTATCCTTATCTTTAAAATGAGGATCCTAGCTGGACACAGCAGGCACACACCTTTAATCCCAGCTCCTGAGAGACAGAGGCAGGTGAAGCTCTGTGAGTTCAAGGCCAGCCTGGTCTACATAGTAAGTTCCAGGACAGCTAGGCTATGTAGAGAGACCCTGTCTCAAGCAAGCAAGCAAGCAAGCAAGCAAGCAAACCAACTCTGGGAATCCTATGCTCAATGACTGATTTTCAGTTATTTATTTATTTACTTATTTTTCTTTTGAGATACAATATTGCTGTGAGTCACAGGCTATGTATTACATCCTCCTGCCTCTGCTTCTTGAATGCTAGGTTGAGATACCATGCCTAGTTTTGACTTATACTTCTAATTAAGCATTTTCCAGAAGAGACTATGGAAATGAAAGGTAATAGAAAGCATTTTTCTTTATCTTGTAAATAATACAATAAACTTCTAAACTCCAATTTTGCAATGAAAATTTGAAGGGTGCTTTTATTTGGACTTTGTATTTCCCTCTTAGTGAGACATTAGAGACACTGTGAGAGTGTATTCGGATAGACTTGACACAGGACCTACCAACACCCCTAATTAGGACTGTGACAGACATTACTAATCAATGTGGAACCTCTATCTACTGAGTTCATACTTGCCTCCAAAGTTTTCTGCATACAATACTTTAGACATTGTTGTTAATTTGATGGGTATTTATGATATAAGTAACTAAAATTCTTTTAGAAAGATGAGTCAATTTCTAATGAATTGATTAAATTTTTGGAAGGGGAATAAGATCAATTATTGGGGTGATTGTTGATGTTCATTATAGACCTTGTGTATTGTTCAGATTTGTTTTTATTATGTATATATACATTTTAGTGATGATAACATTAAAAAGCCCAGTTTAGAAAAAGATTATTTTCTTTTTATTTAGTTTTGTTTGTTTTTATTTTTACCTTTTAAAAATGAAAATATAATTATGTCATTTCTCCCCATTTTCTTTTCTCCCTCCAGCTCTTCCTAAGTCTCCCATCCACTTTTCTCCCTTTCAAATTCTTGGCCTCTTTTTGTTTTATTATTATTGTTACATGTATTTTTGATACATAAATGTATAAATACAACCTCCTGGGTCCTTTCAGTTGGCTTGTATGTATGTATATTATTTCAGAGCTGACCACTTGGTGTTAGGTAACCACTTTGGAGGCTCTGCCCTGGGGAAGACTATCTCTCCTGTTCTCAGCATCCTTTATTGCCCATAGTTCTTTGTCGATGGGTGGGGCCCTTGAGATTTCCCTCTTCCCTGTTAGCATGTTTATTAGTATTGTCCTAATTCAAGTCTTGTGTAGTCAACCATGTTGCTGAGTGACTGACTCTTCCCTGTCACTTCTAGAAGGCACCATCTCATAGATCTCCTGTTCTTGGACTCTTCCTATCTTCCTACCCCCTTTCTGTGGTATTTCCTGAGCCTTAGGTGCAGGAATTATGTTGTAGGTGTATCCATTGGTGCTGGGCACTCCATGATCAGTTAGTCCCTATTGCAGTTTTCTGTAATGGTCTCAGTCTGTATCAAAAAGAAGAAAAAAAAAAAACCTTTTTTTTTTTTACCCTTATCCAGTAACGTATCTTCAGAAGTGATTTTTTCCCCTGAAAGATGAAGAATGTTTGTGTTTTCAAGAAAACTTCTACAGAAGTTCCAGTCAGAAATGGTGATGGATAATCCTCTCTCATATCTTTGAAAAAACAGAATGAGCTACATAAAAGAGAGGGAAATAGTTGACTGGCAACACCCATGATCTACTACTGAAAGATGCTGTTACGACAGATGACATTGATAGCTATGATTTTTAGAGAGAGATTTGCTACAATCTGAAAAAATCAGTTGGGATGTGGCTTCTGCAGCAGTTGACTCGGAGAATAATTTCCTGGAATAATAGCCCAGTTACTATTGTTTAGTACACCTTACAGCTGGGCGCCTTTTATTGCACCTTGGGAGAAAGATACAAATGACAAGTGTGAAGATTGGCTTCTTTCTGCTGGTTGGTTTATAGACATTAAGCTCTGCATCTGGCCGCATCTTGTAATCACACAGCATTGTTGCTTAGCGTCGTGGGACCCTATTCTTCAAGAAACTGTAGTGATGCTCGTTATGCACTGCTTTAGAAGACAAGAAAATCTGTGCTCTAGAGGAAGTTCTACCTCCTATCACTCAATACAAACAAGGAGGTATGTCCAATGGGAAACGGGCAGGAGAGGAGGAGGGTTAAACTGCAAAGAGGAGAAGATTTGGGAAGTTGGAAAGAATAGGAAGATATGCTCAAAGAATTATTGGCAGAAAGATATGGAATAAGTTAATTATGAAATATCATTTTACATGTGTTAGCTAAGGGAAATGAAGAAGCTGGTATGGACTTAGGCTCATGGAAACCCTCATTCACTGCTAATGAGGTAGAAACTGGTGTGGGCACTCCAGTGCAGTCTGGGTCTATGCTCTCATACAGCTGGCCAAATTCATTGCCAGACATCTATTTCACAAAGGAATGACCCAAAACTCCATATGCCTGCCTTCTGTATGAGCCAAAGAAGGAGGTGTTCCAGCTTGCTTGGGACAGTGATCGTAAACAACTCTGGTCTTGGTGTCATTGTTAATATCACCCTCACATTTCAAGAGTATTCAATCTCTGTCTGAGGCGACTTGTGTTAGTTACTTTTCTCATCGCTGTAACCAGCTGATAGGAAGCAACTTACGAGAAGAAGAGGCTATTCTGGATAACAGTTGAAGTGGGGAGGGTGCAGACCATCATGGCAGGGAAGCCATGGTGGCAGGCATGTGAAGTGATGGTCACACTAGATCCACAGTTGGGAGGCAGAGGGCAGACAAGAAGTGGTAATGGGCTAGAAAGTTTCAAGACCCACCTTCCGTGGCCCATTCCTTTTAGTAGGTCCTGCAATCTTCTGAAACAGTGACACCAGCTGGTAACCACATGAACCTATGGAGTCGATTCCCCATTTAAACCACAGCATTCCTTTCACACTTTCCATAGGCTGGTGGCTGACTTGTAATGCCAAGTCCATGTAGTCCAGTCTAAAAAGTCCCCATAGTCTTTAACAGTCCCAACATTGTTCAAAAGTCCAAAATCTTGGGGTTGGAGAGGCGGCAGTTCAGCTGTTAAGGGCACCAGATGCTCTTTCAGGGAATGGAAGTTTGGTTCCCAGTACCCATGTCAGGCAGCTCATAACTGCCTATAACTCCGATTCCAGGGAATCTGGTACTCTCTTCTGGCTTCCACAGGCACCTGCTCATGCATACATATATGTGCACACAGAGACATACAAACAATATATATATATACATTATCTATACATTACACACACACACACACACACACACACACACACACACATATATATATATATATATATATATATATATATGCTAAAAGAATAAAAGTCCAAAGGGACTCCTGTGAGTCCCTGTAAAAAATATTAAAAGTTACATACTTCTAATATACAATGGCACAGAGTAAATACTTTCATTCAAAAAAGAGGCTATGGGTACATACCAAACAAAAATTAGATCAGGGCAAGAACTAAACCCACCAGGCCAAACCACAAATTCTACAGCTCCATATCCAGCATTTGGGACTCATGATGACACTCATCGGGGCTCCAATGGCCCTGGTGAGCCCTGCTCCCCCAGCTCTTCTACCTACAGCACACAAGGCTTATCTCTTGGGCCAGCTACACTCTGCTCCTGCTGCTCACACTGGAAGACGGTCTACTGTCTCAGCATCACCATCTTTCTGGAACCTCCACTGTAACTTAGACTTCACCTTCACAGCTTCACAGACCAGCTTCTCAGGGCCTGGCTTCAGAGGTCTTCTGGAACCTTGTCGCAGGGCACCATTGCTCCCTCCCTGCTGCATCTCACAAGCCTGTAAGACCAGGACTGTGGGGATGTGGCTACAAAGTTCTACTACCAGCTTGAGGTGTAGTCTACCTCCACCCACACTCCCACCCCCACCCCTGCCCTTGGATCAAAGCTACAGCGGCCTCTGTATGCTGGGTAGATGAACACGAGAAAATATTTTCAGTGAGCAGTTTAATTTGATCAGGGAACTCCTTTGACAACATTGTCAAGTTCAGGCCTCTCCTTTCAAATGAATTAGCATTTCCACAAATAGGAGCCATTAGTGGGTGGAGCCTTGCCCTTGAGGCACCTTTCTCAGAGCAGAACACCAGGCTTCTCTTTAAAGGTCTCATCCTTTTAGCTGCTCTGCTTTTCCTCCTTTTCTCAGGTACAACTTTACAATCACTCAATCTTCTAAACAAGTCAACACTTTCTGCTGTGTTTGATGTTTTCTCACACTGCGGAATGTGATTAAGAGCAGCGAGCAGTAACCGTGACATGGCCTGAATGCTATCCTGTCTTGAGATTTCCTCTGCCAAATGAATTACTACATTACTTTGGAATTCAGCCTTCAGTTCCCAGAATGAAGCCAGATTTTTTTTTCCAAAAATTTGAGAGAGAGACAGAGAGACAGAGAGGTCAGAGGACAACTTTATGGGGTTGGTTCTTTTCTTCCACCTTTACTCGGGTTCTGGGGATCAAACCCATATCAGTAGACTCTCAGCAAGCACTTTACTCGCTGAACCATCTTGATAGCTCCCAGAGCCAGATTCTTTGACAGAGATATAATGCCAATGGCCTTCTAGATCAGTTCCCAATAGAGTCCTTGATCTGCTTCAGTATTGTATAAGCTGGGTCTTCACTGTCTCCACTTCTCTCACCATCCTTGTCTTCCAGGCTCCCACCAGGATGGCCCATGAAGCTCTGCTTACAGCATTCTAGGACTCCTCTGGCCTCCAGGCCCACACTCTTCCACATTCCTCCTGAAAACCCATTCGAAAGGCCTACAAGTCACACCGTCAAGCTTATCACAGCAAAACTCTTCATACCAATTTTCTGTGTTGCTCACTGTTCTCACTGCTGTGACCAAAGAAGGGACTGAAGGGAGGAAGGCTTTGTTTCGGCTTATAGTTTAAGAAGAATGCAGGCCATCCTGATAGGGAAATCATCACCATAGGCATAGGAGGTGAAAGGTATTTGCACCCCATAAGCCTCTCTGCCGACACAGAAATCCAAATCAAATCAAATCAGACCGAATTAGAAAAAGCCCTGGTTTAACAGGTAAAATGTTCCCCGGGTGATTCTCCAGCCCCCCCAGAGAGGAGACAAGGACAAGAGATAGGAAAAACCATGTGTCTGTTTTCTGGGATACAGCTTAAATACTGTGGGAGTGGTCTTGAGAATCTCTGGTGGGCTTTGAGGGGGCGGGATGGGGAGGGGAGTTGACGAGGACCTTCCATCAGAACATTCCAGACTCTTTGGGTATATGGATGCCAGGGTGCCAGGGGCTGAGGTGGAGCTTCCACCAGAACAGGAGGTTGTTGGCCATGTCGAGTCCCTAGGAAGCAGAGAGCAGACAGGAAGTGAAGCTAGACTCACCTCCTGTGACTCAAGGCCTCCAGTGAGATTCCAGCTCTTGCAGTTTCCACATCCTTCCAAACAGCGCCACCAGCTGGGGACCAAGTGCACAAGCACACGAGCTCTGGGGTACATTTTACACTCACAAGTGGCCTTCGCAGCACAGTTTGGGACAGTGGGAAGTGGAAAGGCCAAATGTGTTAGGTTCCTACTCTTTAACACAGAGACGCAACAGACTAAATGTGCTTGTAGCAAAACATTTGCATCTTAAAAAGCAGTCCTGGATGGGAAAAGAAACAGATTGGGTTTATAAAAGTTACATTTGCATGGAGTTGTTAAAGCTAGAGCAAAAACTATACATTCCACAAAAACTCAGAGGAGCCGAGGGATGTGGTCATACTGGTTATTTTGTGGGCCCAGGGGGAATAAGCACTTTACATGAGACAGAATGGGCATGGTCTTGGCTGGACCAAAGAAGCTAATGAACACTGAGAAATATGATGGAGTCAGCTTTGGAACCTGAATTTAGAAAGTAAGAATTCTTCCAAACTACATGGAACTGAGGAATTTTTTTATGTACTCAAAAAAGAAATATTCAAATGAGAGCTTTCTTCGGAAAGTGGTATTTATTTATTTATGCCCCTCCCATCTCTTTGAAGTTCCATAAAGCACTTGAGGCTGCTTAAATAAGTATCTGAAATTGGACGACATTAATACTAAAATATTTAGACAAAGAAGCAGAACCACATGGATATGGAACTATGGCATCTGAGGCAAAGGCAGTGTGATGTGAAGCTAACGTCTAAAACCCACACCAGATGGACCTGTAGACACGCCAGAGACGGGTTTCAGATTTGGCAGTGAACTGGCCAGCAGGCACTACCCAAAAGGAGGTGCCCTCACACACAGGATCTGTGTTGTTGAGAGGAAGAACCACGCAGCAACTTGCAAATCCTGAAAAGCAGGGCACGTTTCCCATTGGGAAGCCAGAGAGGTTTGCCTCCGCGCTCTGTAAGGAGGGCAGCGTGTGATGGAACACTGACCCAGAGAACTCCTTTCTTAGGAGGATTTATTCCAAAAGCCGTGTCGAAAAGCAGAATGTTAATTTGCTTTAATGGAGTTTAGGTTCCTTGATTTCCATGGAACAGCCAGATCTCAGCTTCAGATCACCCCAGGACATATTCCCTGGTGTCCATAGCTCAACAGCCTTCAGTCCCAGCTCTGGCACTGGGTTAGGAACCACAAGGCCCAGAGATCACCGGTCATTAGAGCTCTGGCTAATAAGAACATAGAGAAGAGTTCTTTTTCCAGATTCTGGGACAGCCACTGTCTCTGGGCTCCTGAAGAGTGGGTGAGAGATAAAGAGACTTCTCCTATCTTTCTGAAACAATTTCAGCTGCCATTAAACTTTTATCAACTGTAAGTCAAGCATAGTAATTGTTGTAGAGTTTATAGAAGGCAAATCGGTTGTGGGGGGACAGGGGTCCCTGTGTAGTAGCAGACATGTACAAAAGGAGTCCACTCTGAGAAATGAGCTTCAGATGCACGCTTGGAGTGTATTAGAGAGACAGAGAGAGAGACAGAGAGACAGAGAGAGACAGAGACAGAGACATAGACAGACAGAGACAGACAGACACAGACAGAGACAGACAGACACAGACACAGATAGAGACATAGACAGAGAGCAGAGAAAGAATCTGTGGCATTCTGGTTTACTCTGGGTTTGGGACCAATAGAGTTCATCAAGCTATTTTGAAGCCTGGTATAAATAACCCCTGAGCACATCCAATTATACTTGATTTCATATTCACCAAGCAACTCCTGCTTATTAATTCAATTTCCAAGAGCCTGAGAAAGGGAAGTGTGGTAGATGTATGCCAAGGCAGCTGTAATTATTCCCTCCCTGTCACTGGGCTTCATGCAGTTGACTTTGAGATTCATCTCTTCAATGCATACAGCCCAGTTCCGTACATCTCCCTGGGCTGGCCTAGTGTTATGCTGTGGTCAGTGGAATCTGCTGGAAGGGCCAGTGTGCCAGTGTTGAGCCTAGGTCTGAAGAGGCCCTGCACATGCCCTCCTCCCTCTCCCCCGCGTTCACTGAACCATATGCAACCACCATGGGATGAACGTGGGCCAACCTGTGTAATGATGAGGAAGAAGGTCTATTTGTTGTTTGCTGGCAGGGTGACAGAAATGAAGCCATGTGGTTTTTCAAAAACACTCCTGCATTTCCAGCTTACCTGTGAGAAGGACCTAGAAGAGACTTAAAGATTCCAGCACAAAGAAATGAGAACTGTTGGAGGAGAAGGAAACGCTGAGTACTCCAATTTGATCCTTCCACCTGAACTAGCTAGTTTGCACTGTCAACTTGATAAGCCAAGAGTCACCTGGGGAGAGAGGTCACAACTGAGGAACCGTGTAAAGCAGGTGGGCATGTGGACCTGTCTTTAGTGGACTTTTCTTGATTATTAATTGATGTAGAAAGATGCAACCCACCGTGGGTGATACCATTCCCTAGACAGGGCACTCCTGAGTGTTTAAGAGTGAAGAAAGCTAGGTGAGAGCAAGCAAGTAGGCAGGCAATCTGTGTGTATTTGTTTCTCTCTGCTCTCGACTGTGACTGTGCGGTGACTAGTTGCTTAAGTTCCTGCCTCAACTTCCCTCCATGATGGACGGTGATCTGTGAATTGTAAGCCGAATAAATTCTTTCCTCTCTTGTGTTCTTTTTGGTTAGGATGTTTGTCACAGCAACAGAAATGAAAGTAGAACAAGGCCGTGTGTGTGTGTGTGTGTGTGTGTGTGTGTGTGTGTGTGTGTGTGTGTGTGTGTAAAATGTATCAAATACATCAATTAGCATTTTTAAACGAATCTATTAAATTTTAGAATTTAGGTCACTTTCCCCTATTCCCTGCTAGGTTGAGTGATGATGGCAGAGGGTTGTGTCTGTTGAGTGTCTTTAATTCCCTAGAATCTCTCTGCACCTGCCACAGCAGCTCCTCACAGAGCTGAGTTTTCCTCTCTGCTGGGCTGTAGCTCATCACCTGTCCTCTGGGAAACGACAGGCAGTTGTGCATGAAGTACCTGTCAAGAGAGACGCTGGGCAACACCAACTTTTAATTGGATTCTGTAGTGGTTTCTGTGGCCAGATCTGACCCCCTGGCATTTTCATTTTCCCGAGTCTTGTTGTCAGTTGTATTGTGAGCAGTGTGGTAGAGCCTGGCCCCTCTCTCCTGCGAGTCCCTGGTTTCTGTCGGGTTGCTGCTGTGTCTCATTATTGCCGATGCTACTGGACTGCTAGACCTTTTGATAGCTGGAATGGAAGCCCATGGGACTCACTAATGACATCCAGGGAGATTCAACAGGTGGGATGCTGCCGAGGAGATACCACGGTGAAAATGCACCTGTCTGTGCCCAGCAAGGCATGAAAGATTTCTTCCCTTTAAAAACCGCTGAAGGAGTCAGGCTGACATTCTTAGGTTCTCCGTACAACACCGTGAGGAGTTAGGGTTCATCTTAGAAAATGCCTGGGAACTTGGGGGATGTTTTGTGAAATTAAAATTTTATTCATGCTCATTCTCCTGTTAAGAAATTAAAGAGTTAGACCATTCTGGCGGGGTGATTCCTGGGATGGGAACGTGGAGCCTGGATTTGAGGCTCGCTGGGGGAACATCCTGGCTCTGCAGTGCTAGCTGTATGCCTTCCAGCAAGATACAGGCGCAGCTTTTCTGAGACTCTGTGGAGTGAGAATGGTATTCAATTTGTCATGAGGATTAAGTAATTTAAATGTGTATAATTCCTAGCATGGAGCTTAGAGCATATACCCACTTGATAAATGTGAGCTTAATTTCCAGCTCTTTTCACCATTTCTGACTTGATTTTATTGCTATTGTTTACTTGATTTCTTGCTCTCCTTCTCTCTCTCTCTCTCTCTCTCTCTCTCTCTCTCTCTCTCTCTCACACACACACACACACACACACACACACACATACACACACACACTTCTGTAAAATGGTGGATGAGCAAGATGGCATTTTTATGACAACCTTTAAATTATGTATTTTGGATCTAATAATCTCTCCTAACTGTGTACTGAAAGTATGATCCAAATTTTAAAAACTTGCCAAGCTATCGTCACAGCAAGACTGACGGTTGCTTCAGAAAAGGATTTTTCTGATCATTTCTTATTTGCTTTAGTTTTTTAAAAAGCATCTTCTTCGCCCTTTAAATTATTCTACCTGCAATTCTTTTATTAATGCTCCTGTAGTGTCAGTAAATTCTCATTACTATCCCAAGTCATTAAAAAAAGAGATCGATTTTAATTCCCCCCCTGGGCACACAATGAATCATATCTTCTACAAAGATTGTCAAGTAAGCTAATTTCTTCATCCAGGCAACCACTTTTCTAAGAGAAGCCTCACTCTGGACCCTAACCCATCTTGAGTGCTCATGACTCTGTTATGAGTCCCTCATAATGTTGGCAATGAGATGTAGCCATAAGTTTTCCCAGGTCCCAAGTTCCTCTGGTCTCGCCCTGATCCACAGTCCCTCAAACATTTATAAAATATTCATTCAGAGGCTTAATATTATTTACAAACTGTATGGCCTATGACAGGCCTCTTGCTAGCTAGCTCTTATATCTTAAATTAACCCATTTCTATTAACCTATGTTTTGCCACGTGTTCTGTGGCTTTACCGGTCTGCTGGCATGTTGCTCCTTAGGCAGCAGGCTGACATCTCTTCAGACTCCACCTTTCTCTTTCCTGTATCTCTCCTTGGATTTCCCACCTGCTTCTAACTGCCTTGCCATAGGCCAAAGCAGCTTATTTATTAACCAATGGGAACAACATATATTCACAGCATACAGAAAGACATCCCCCAGCAATAAGATAGTCAAAGCAAGTACATTGAGAACACAATCATGGAAGCTTTTAAAGCAGAGGGGAGGAAACTCATTTTTGGGTAGTCAGCTGCTCACCCCATACTGAGGTCCTCCATGGCACTGTCACAAAAGTGCTATGAGGAAGCATTTTACAATGGACTTTTCTGAGTAGGGAGCTGATGTCCAAGATTGCAAATGTCTTCCTTATAAACCAAGAATGTCAAAGGCTGCTTGACCTTAAAATCCATGTTCTTCCTTCTGTCCTCAGCAGCCTCAAAGGCAGAAGCCCTTGCCTTTGGCTCTGCATTGGAATCATTTGGGAAGCTATCAAAAATAGTCATTCCCCAATACATTGCCGAAAAGAAGCAATGTTGGAGATGCCCAACTCTCTGCTTTCAAAAGCTGCTGTAGAGTTTATTATTGAGATGCATTACATCCTTCAAAGAGTAGGGTCAAAGGTCAGCAGAGCAGAGAGAGCAGAAACAGAGTTTACAAATACATATAACAGGTTATTGTGAGACTAGGGTGAGAGCTCAAATGGAAAAGTACTTGGTGACCCAAGTGTAAGTCCCCAGGGCCACATAAAAAAGACAGGGGTTGGTGCTTCACTTGTATTGCCAGCACTGGGGAAACAAAGACAGGCAGGTCCCTGGAGTTCATTGACCAGACAAGCTACCATACTCAGTGAACAGGCCAACAAGAGACTCAGTCTCAAAGACAAAACAAACAGAATAGCAAAATGGATGCCATCTGAGGAAAGACATGTGCACACACACACACACACACACATACACACACACACACACACACACACACACACACACACACACACACACACGCAGAAGAGAGCCCATTATATTGTTTTCTGGGAAAAGAAAACCAGTCAAAATGGGAGAAAGGTCGTGGCTTCAGGGGCTCAGGAGGCAGTGGAGAGGGTAGGATAAATGAAGCATCGGCAGTTATTTAATACAATGATCTAATTCCATTTCATATAAAATAATATATTAGTATATAACATGTATTACATTGTGGTATTCTGTGTCACATATTCCTTAATTACATAATATTGTGATTTTTCAAGGCCTACAGAAACTCAATAACACAAGGTCTTATTGTATACTAACTAAATGAATCATGGAGGGGGTTGGAGGAGTCTTGCGATGAAATGCGGAACTGTGATAAATACTTTTAGTTTACTACAAAAGTTGCAAGCAACCTCATGGTATGCAGACAAAGGGGAGCTGGCCTAAGTAACTATGGGAATGATTGACGTCTGTAAGGCAAAAGCTAAAAGAAAGATACAGAAGTACCCCACTATAGTTGATAACATTTCTCATGGTGGTTCACATTAGCAATTTTCATGCAGCTATATGTGCATACTGGAATTGAATATCTATGTGCATGGGCAGTGAGAGGAGTCAGGTGTCTGTCTGTCTCATGGTTGTCGTGGAATGTTACAGAGAAGTAAAGGAAGGAACCTGGAATCACCCCTGTGGTGCTGGATTAGAGTTGAGGGTTTCAATGGAACTTTTGTTCATTGTATATAGACATGGATTGTTACACATGGAAATATATATAGCTAACACAGAAATATATATGTATGTGTGTCAGTATACACACAGATAGATATCTGTCTCATCAGCTGTATATTAACACTACCCTGAGTGTAACAAGCACACCTACTATTCAGGACTTGATTTCCAATGTTATTCTTTAACAAAAAGGAACACATTTTGAGTAAATGACTGGTTCTAAGACTAAGGTGGGAAATATCAAAGATGAGACTGGAATGAAAAGAAAATGCTCGTAAACACAGACACATGTACACACGAAGGGGGGATATGCCAAAGGAATAAAAAGTCAGGCAAACTAATTCCCAATGGCTTAGATTGGGACATTTGTATGGTGATATTTTATTTGTATTAAAATGTTATTTGTATGTTAATAAATAAAGTTGCCCGGGGGTCAGAGCTATTAGCAAGCCATAGGAAAGCAGGGCAGTGGTGGCGTACACTTGTAATCCCAGCACTTGGTAGGCAGAGCTGGGTAAGTCTCTGTGTGTTCAGGGATACAGCCATTATTGGATACACATGCCTTTAATCTTAATACCAATCATGGAAAACCTGGAGGCCTATACAGACAGGCTGTGAGGAGGCGGTCATGTGGTTGGGTTTACAACCAATGAGAAGGCAGGACAGGAACTCTATATAAAGACTTTAACACAGGGGTAGCTCTGGTTTGGAGAGGTAGGACCACCGCAGGAGGAAGGGTAAGGTTTTAGCTCTTAGCTCTGACCTCTTGGCTTTCTTCTTTGCATTGGTTCTGTGTTTATTATTTAATAAGAAGGTTGGATACATCTACATTTGGCGCCCAACGTGACAAGAATTCATTAAAAACCGCTTGGCTTGGCTTGGCGGCAGGTCCGGTTTCCAGCCTGGGCGGCCCGGCTGCCTAGCTTGGGCCCAGGCCTGACTGACCCGCAGCTGGAGCTACTTGCAACTACTACAAACAACTCAGACCTGCCCTGCTGAACAGGGCCCCTGCCTGTAAAGTCAAGGCTTGACTCGGCTCAAGCGGCTACACTTTCTCTCTCTCTCTCTCTCTCTCTCTCTCTCTCTCTCTCTCTCTTCTCTCTCTCTCTCTCTCTCTCTCTCTCTCTCTCTCTCTCTCTCTCTCTCGCTGGATTCACACCTCGAACACCAGGTGACTGTGGAATTCCCTGGGATTCTACTGTTCTACCCAGACTTGGTAAGTCAATTAACATATCTATTTAAAAGAGAATTTTTTTCTACATTAAAAAAAATGGGCTTTATGTGTACATTGGAAGAAAATTGGGCTTT